TCCAAAAATTAAATTTTAAAAAACTTCAAACATATTTCATTATTTGTGAACATGTATATAAAGATTTTACTTTTTTAAGTTATAGATATAAAGGAGTAAGAAATGACCCTTTTTTTTCTTCCCAGGGTGAGTCCATTCTGGATGGGTGCCTATTGTGTATTGTTGATGTTTTTTATGGCTGGCATTGGTCTGACCCATCAGCTTCTGAAGATGTATGCTGGAGTGGACCTTGCCAAGAAAGCTTTGGCCATGTATTATGGCAGATTGTGAAGCATGTACATCAATTTTATGTAGGATTTAAGTTAATGCCATTTAAACAATCTATATCTAAAGTTTATATTTGTATGTAACTTTCTGAGGAATTTATTTTTTTAATAAAACATAATTACTCTTAAAAAATGAGTTCTGCATCAGCTTTGTATTGTATTAGAATTACATACAGGATTTTCATATCAAACCATGACATACTACAAGGATCTTGGCTTTGCTGTATTTTATTGATTTTGTCATGTTGGATAATTTTCTCATTTAGCCAAGAATTGTAAGCAAAGAGGTAAGTCTGAGAAATAATTCTACTTTGAAGTATTGAATTGTATCTGTCTGAATGCAGACATTTTTTAAATATGTAATTTGCAATGACAGATTTAAGTCTGTTATTGATGGTGTCCTATAGTTTGATGTTACATCCCTATTTGTTTGTAACTCCCTACTGATTTCAATAACTAAAAAGTTTAATGTGATAGAAAGTGCACAGAACTGAGTCAAATGAATCATTGATTTTTATAAAGTATAATTTCTAACCTGACTGTGACCAGAATGGCACTAATACTGGCATCCCCTTGCACCTTTCATGCTTAACAAACTTTCCATAATATGGCGCCATATTCTGTATACTGTGGGGTAGTTTATTTACATCCAACAAGATAATGATGTAATTTATCTTATTCTGTAACTGTTGGATAATTCTGTAAATTACCATAACGTTGAGTTTGTAATTATATTCCTTTGCACACATGAACATATTAATGAAACCATTTGTTAAATTCACGTTAAAGGCAATTTTTTTGTAATTCTTTTCCTTTGCTTGATTTGACACCTTAAATATCAGAAGCAGACGACATGTGTGTACATCGTTAGTCAGCATACAACCCTTTGCTGAAAATGGACTTGTCCAGGAACTGGAAATGGTTCTCAAGCATGTCAGTCTATTACATTGGAAACTTCCTTTAAGCATGAAACACGCAGACGATGACGGTATTATGGCCATTCTACTCACAGTCAGGTTAGAAAATATAAATCAATGAATAAATTGACTAAGTTCCTTTCACTTTTTATCAAATTAAAGGCTTCCGTTATTGAAATCGGTAAGGGGGGTACAAGCCAACAAGTTAGTAGAATCGGACTATAGTTGGTGTTTAAGTCTTAGGTGTCCTGGTTGATGGTGTTTTAACCTATTCTATCCTGACTACACCTCTGGTTGTAGACTACCATTTTATCCGGAATACACCTTCATTCGTAGTTTCATTAGGTGTTTATGTAGTGTCTAGAAACCAGTGTTATACATCAGAAATACTTGTGTACTTCTTCACTGACAACAGGAAATGGTTAAAGCGCGCATGCACATAAAAATAAAAAAAAAAAAACGTTAAAAATGTAACAGTGGATTTGAAAATCGATCGATAAAATGATGGACAAAAACTCAGATGTGAACATGGATATTGATAGCGAAGGTAGTGACATTGAAGTTGAAACATTTCGATGATTATGAAGATAATATTGACTTAATGGATGGTTTAGATGTAAATAAAGTTGATGAAATAGATGGTGCATGACTGCATCCACTTTTTGACAGCAATTTGGACAATTATGCTAACTTTGAAGGATTTAAATACGATTATGTCGGGGTAATTTTTCTCCTTGGTTGCATCCAGGATTTAAATTGATTGAAGGGCAAATGTTCAACACCCAGAAGAATACTGACCTAGTGATAATGTGGACTTTACAATTTTGACAAAACTTTTAATGATTCAGTTTAAAGATTTCCAGGATTAATTTGTGGACAAGTTTTTTTTCCCGAGAAACTGCAGGCTGAAGTACACATTCTAGATTGTGAACTCAACAAATTGTTCCTAGTATTTAGTTGTGCAGTTCTGGTAAAATTTGATAACGTTTGAACTAACAGTGCTATAAACTTCAAATTTGGACCAAAATATTAGAAATAGAATTATTTTTTTTTTTATTCCATACTATTTGGAGCATTTCATTCATCTTCATGAAGAAAAGATTCACTGAAGTTCATGGTAATTTTCATTTTTATTTATCCCTTTTTCAAAATACAGTTGTGATCTTGTACATCAATAAATTTTAACAAAACATATATCACTGTGTTGCCAATTTTATTACCTTTTCAGAGATACATAGTTTTATATACTTTAAAAAATAAATAACAATGTTACAACATTTTTTGTAAACATGGTGAAGGTCATCACAATTTCTTCTGCTGCTGCTGTGTGATGCTCCATTTTACCACAGTGTATTTAGAATTGCTTCTAAGGATAGAATGGGTTAATACTGTAATTGTTGGTGTCCTAGTTGGTGGCATTACAAGTTAAACTGTACTAGTGCACTCATCTATCATTACTTCACATAATGACCGTAAAGACTGATACTAAAGGGACAGTTATTTTAAAGTAATTGAAGCCATCTACTTTGAGTGAAGTAAAAGAAAAACAGGAATGTAAAGTTTTATGATGGCCGAATAAGTCCATCAAAAACTTATTTTTCTGTATTTGCAAGTTAAATATTATAATGCATAAAATATTCATTTATGATCATAGTGTGGTCACACCCTCCTGACTTTTATGTTGTTTCATTCAAACCTTAGAGATGATGCAACTTCGCATGGAAGAATTTTGGCGCCAATTCCTTCACCCTGAGAGAGAGATAAATTGTCTGAATTCCACCTAGGTGGACAGATGACATAGAGCATTTTATTGGTAAAAACAAGATTTGGAGAGTCGTGTTTGCAAGGTTGTGTCATACTTCAATATATTATAATCAGAAGTATTATTTTTTTAAAAAATACTCCGGGAAACAGTTTCTTTGATAAGACTCTTATTGCAGTTTTTAAAATTGTGTTAGAAATTTTTCCTTTTCATCTTTTAATATGAGAAAGTTGTGTCCATGCTGTTTCATGCCTTATCTCTCCTTAAGTTATAGCACTGTAATAGACTTGGATAATAACCAATTTATATTAATGACATTATAATGGAATTACATCATTTGGTGATATGTATGTATGTATGTATGTATGTATGTATGTATGTATGTATGTATGTATGTATGTATGTATGTATGTATGTATGTATGTATGTATGTATGTATGTATGTATGTATGTATGTATGTATGTATGTATGTATGTATGTATGTATGTATGTATGTATGTATGTATGTATGTATGTATGTATGTATGTATGTATGTATGTATGTATGTATGTATGTATGTATGTATGTATGTATGTATGTATGTATGTATGTATGTATGTATGTATGTATGTATGTATGTATGTATGTATGTATGTATGTATGTATGTATGTGTGTAATGCCTTGTTTAATGAGCATATAAGATGAGATCATTTTAGTTGATGTCATCTGACATAAAGAAAAAGCATAATGTTCGAGGCATCCATATTCATTTGAGCATTTATTCACCACCTTATGCTGCAGTGTTTTCAAAATTTTGTTCTCCAAGGCTTGCAAAAGTTATAAATTATCCAACTTATTTTATAAATTTTAATTAAATTTAGTTTTGTTTTTGTTTGTTTTAATGACACCTTTGAAAATATGATTAGCCATATCACACCAAGGAAATGGGAGCTGAATGTTTTTCCCAAGGGTACACTGAAGTTGCTAATCTGGGTTGGCCTTGGTGGGTATCAAGCCCAAGTCTGATCTCTACCAAATGATCTACCATGACTTATTTAAATAGAGCAGGATTCTGTACATGTATTAAATTTTCTGTTACATGGGTGTTTTGCTATCAGCCTTACTTTCTTGTGAGTTCCAAGGTCAGTAACAGTTCAATTTTCTGGTCTACTTCTATTAGTCTGAGAAAATGCCGTTTTTTTTTGGGGGGGGGACCAATAATACTATGGATTTAAATAATGGATCCATCAGAAAAAACCTGTTTAATAACATTTTAGAACTAATTTTATGCAGTACCAAACATCACAACTAGAAACCACTGAATGGAGGAATATTATGATAAGTAATTATACTAAAAACAAGACCATGTCATACCACAGTAGAGTTGGATTCATAAATGACCTTAAACAGAAAGTCTGTTTTATACTTAGATCTACAGAGCTCTATCTTATTCTATATTAAAAAGAAAACCTCTGCTGAAAAGTATTTTTTAAACTTATATGGCTATTTTCCTTATATTATTGGGTGAAACATAAATCTTAATAAGAACCAACAATATATTTTAGTTACAATGAATTAACTAGAGTAAACAACACCAATTCTTAATAAAGAATATGATACTTATTATATACTAATCATATTTTCATATGTAACAAAAAATTACAAGAAGAGAAATAGATGTGCATATTAGCACCCGCCAGGCAATTTTCTGATGAAAATATTATCATAGGGGTGTGTGGTATTAGATGTTTAAATATGGTGGTTTAATTTATTACATTATGAAATCCAGTAAAATATAACAAGTCTGTGAAAAATTAAGAACTAAATTTGTGTGTGTGTGATTTAGATTTTTAGTGTAGCTTTAACAATTTTTCAGTCATATCACTACAATGTCTGCAGTATGACAGCTTATAGTGATGTCTAGCACTGGGACATCATGCCACAGACATGTAGCATGATGTCCCACCCAATCACAATATCCTAATACCAGGCCAACCAGTCCTAACATTAACCTCTTAATGCTGAGTGCCAAGTGAGGTAGCTGTTAGAACCATTTTTGAAAGTCTATGGTACAACCCTGCCAGGGTTGGAACCTGTGACCTCCCACATCCGAGGCAGACGCTTTAACCACTAGGCTACCAAAGCAGTCAAATTAAATTTAGAAATTTATGTATGTGCAATGGTGTTATATAATGTATGGCAGGGCTTTCAAGTTGACACTTTTTAAGTGTAGTTTACCAGTAAAGGGTAGGTAGCCTTGAAATATTTCTTGATGTATACTGATGACATTAAATGGTTTTAGTTTTGTGGTTTTATGGCACAGCAAAGTACATACGTTTTATAGCACCAAGGCAATAAAGTAATGTGCTGTTGATAAGGGCACACCATGGTAGTCAATTCATGCTGATCTGATGGAAGGAGTTTAACCTGTAAGTCACAAGTTTCACTGACTAACTATTGAGCCAGTGAAACTCCAACATCCATTGGTCAAGTCTTAATATATGCAGGAGTATTTGCCTGTCATACATCACTGAGCAAATGCATGGGATGGGCATTCAATGGCATCTAGATAAAATTCAATTAGAAATACTGCATCAAAAATGAACTTAAATTTTTTGAGTTGGGGATTGTGTGAGATTTTAAACCCGTTTTCAGCAGAAGACAGGGTATATGGTTTAGGAGAAACCCAGAAATAACCATCAACCCATGGGAAGCTATTGCCTTCTCGCATGCATGTGTTGGTCAACCGAGACTTTAACTTGTGTAAGCACCTTAGAACATTCAGGTACTTGGAGTCCCACGATAAAACAAAAACTCAAATGTTAAGGTAACAAACCATTGGCCCAGTACATGTTCTGCAGAAAGTTTGGATCTGATTGTGAGGTGACAGCTCCAATATTTAATAATATGATGGGATTCTAAGGTGGGCAATTTTTGCTGCTTATCATCTAAGATATTGTCGCCTCTCATGAGTCACAATCACTAAAATCCCAATTTGAACAAAACTGCCAAATTTATAAAAGGAAATTCTCGCTCTAAGGTATGACACTCACTGAAATATTAGAAACCCAAGTTAAAAAAAAAAAAAACTTAAGAAATGGCAGCACTGATATTTCAGGGAAAATATGACCCCTAATTGTCTCATGGATGAAAGTAATTTTTACATCTATTTTATGATTCAGTCTCAAGCTGAATAATCAAATATTGTAAGAGATGAAATGTGAAGCAAATCCATTAGAGAAATAATTTGAACAACTTGTATTGTTCATCAGAATCAGAGAAACCTGTTTTACATAAGTATGATTAGTACCATGTAAATCTTTTGTGTGAAAATTTCATTTCAAATTAGAAGCAGCTGTTAAAATCTGATTGTTAAATTCCATTATTTATAACATAGTCTACATAAAATATGCACATAACAAAATGGCATACACTCAAAGTGTTTTACTTGGAGCAGTACATTAAGTTGTTGTGTGTGATTGTTATAGGTCAGAGACTTGTGAAGGATATTAATTTTGATGAGAAATGGTATTTTTTGCAACTGCAGAGAAAATAATTATATCAATACTTATCAAATGCAACCAACTTGGTTATTGACTGGCTAGCTATTTAAGAATTATTACAGTGATAATGTATTAAAGTGATCAAAATATGTAATAAAAGTGATCAACAAATGTATTACAGTGATCAACAAATGCATGGCAGGTAAGGAACTGTCATTATGCTGTGTTTTATGCAAAACATTCTAGTACATAAGCTACAATAATTTTGTACAATTATTTCAGAATTCTTGTGGCCTTATGATGATATACATCATTACAAGGACAAGAATGTAATTCTTATTTTCTAAAATTCACACTGCTGACAGGTTTACAGAAATGTTACTATTATTACATTGATCATTATGATGTGAATTATATAGCGATAAACACTGTACCATCCAAAAAATTTACTATCACAGTCTTGATATGAGATTGATAGGTCCAGTCTAGGATGTACTGTTAAGATGTCTCAAAGAACTGCACTAGACTTTGTAGGTCATAGTTGTCCAGAATTTCTAGAAGTGCTGGAACTTTTCCCTTGACGTTCTGACCCTTGAACTTGAATTTGTCAATGTACAGATCTGTTATCATACATCCAAATAGTTAAGAATAATAATACAAAATGACAACATACACATTTTTGCAAGAAAAAGTTACAAATTTCAGTTCTCATTAAAGAATGATGATAAAACCAAGTGTCAAGATTCCATGCATCACTTACATCAATATTCTTTTCAAGCATACCTGCTTAAAGTGTATTTTTAATGTTATGAATAAGCACTTCTTAGGGTGCATAAATTCATGCAGATGTGGCTTGAGTAGCATAAACAAGCACCAACTAGGTTTTGGACAGCTGAAGGGAAAAAAAATGAATCTTGAACTATATCAAAATATTTGTATAATATGATACATTATTTAGGATTTCTATTTGTCAGCCAGTTGTCCATGCAAAATGTATAACAGAAACCAATTTTCAGAACAATTTTAATTGACTTCCGTAGGTCAGTAAGTCTGATAAAAAAATAATCATAATTATTTTGAATATGTAAATACAGTCAGAATTATTAGCCTCTTCAGCTGATATCACAGGAGGTAAACTATAGTCACTGCTAGTTCTATAACTAACTCTGACTATAATATTAAAGAAAATGACACTTAAACATTGAATACTTGGTAATTAAACTTCTGACTCTTTATGAATAATTCTTTAAGGTATGGAGTCTTAAGGGCTCTGACTGATTTTTATGGTTGAGAAATTTTAGTTCTCTTCATTTCAGTAAATTTTCTGAATTGTAAGCTGTTTAAGCTTTTTATCTCAGTGCTTTCTAAAAACATTAACAGCAACAGACTCATTTAAATTCATTATTCGGGTCTTGGAAAGATTGTCTAGGACTAAAGACTGCAACAAACAAGACTACAAATACATGATCACCATCTTTTGCTCATGATTTTGGGTATCCACAACTTGCTTCTTGATTTTTGTCTGAATTGAAAATCATAGTATTTCAGTAATTTAAGGTATATTTATTCTTGTCTTACTGAATTATTATATGGCCCAGTTTCAATTCCTTTATGAAAAATTTTTTTGTTTGGTTTACATCACCAGCAAGTTTAAAACAGCAGTCACTACAATTTTACACATTCTGACTCAAGTTAGCGCATACTCATAAATAAGCCTTATCCAAGCAGTAACCATTTTAAACCATATTTTGCTAAATGATAATGTCAACTTTCCATACTCATATTGCTACTTTTTACCTAACACTACATGGAAGATGCTCTGCATTTCTTTGGATCATGTTTAATTCTATGAAGCAAATAATTCTGAAAAATGCTGCAATAAAAAAAATGAGAGTAATTACCCTTGTAAGGCGAGATAAAAGGATATCATAGAGTCTTTCCAGATGGCATGGTTGTTTTTTGAACTCTGCCTTCAGAAGTTCAGCATCCTCCAGAATCTGTCTGTACTCAGGGGACATGAAGTTAATGTCATTCTCATGTACCTGCAGTTCCTGAAAAAGGCAGGACAAAGCATTATCATACAATGCTGTATGGCTGAATTGTACATTATAAGAGACTGAATTCTCTAGACTTTATTCAGAGTCGTGGTTGCTTAGTGTGCTGACTTATTAATGATAGGGTGCAGGATTGTATTCCGATATTCCTGTGCTTGCTTGTGTGGTGTAGCCTTGGGCAAGGAACTTTATTGCTACATTTGCATTAGATAACCTACTTGTTTTGCTGTGACACAAAATACTAAATCAACAATAGCAAAAACTGAAGGCTTGGTTTCGGATAAATCATGTCATTGATGTAGTTGACAATACTCCTCCCAGCATACATATATAACAGTTATGGTAAATAAAATATACATATTACTCCTGACATTTTATAAAAGTAATCATTAGTTTCAAACATTTGTTCCTGTTCATAAAAACTCTTTTTCAGTGAATTTCCAGATGTAAAATAGTGTAAAGCTTTTGTGCCAGTAAGACCTTTATTCCAAATGCCTTGGCACTAAACAATCTACTTGTGTTGATATGCAATAAAACACCAGATTACACCAATTAGCAATGGTCTGGTGTGATAAACAATCTTTCATTGAGCATCTGTGTTAACAAACTGACAAAGTCTTACTGTGCATTCAACAATTTAATATAAATTGATTTACATTCAAAATCTTTCAGCATTCTTGAATACTATTTGATATGTTTCAGGGTGACATGTACATTATTTTCCCAAAAACCAGGAGCAAAATTTGACACCCTCACACCCTCAAGTGACATTTTACAGAAGATGGTCCCTAGGATACAGGAGCCAAATTTAATAAAATTCGTAAAGTTGTATGAATCAGTCTTTATTCAAATCTATTGAGTTTTTAGATTTAGAGCTTCAAATTTTAGTTTTGTGCTTAAAAGGTTTTGAGAATATGGTGCATTTTGTTCTGCTACTTTTGAAATATGCTATATATAAACCCAGTCTAGTTCACATTCAGAAAAAAAAATTGACAATAAAGGACATACAGATCATGTGAAGAATAGTAACATATTACTAGAAAATAGGCATTAATGTAAGACCTGTTTTAAAAGACGATCTATCCTGCCAGAAAATGGTCTCACAAGAATGGGTGGTCTGTCTTGACAGCTCACAACACTATATAAGCAATGAGTTTTGAAAACTAATCTCTGAAGACAGGTTATCTCATAGCAGTGGTATTTCAAAAGAGGTTTAACTTATTTCCATTTAATAATTTGAAATGAAAATGCAGCTTGATTGCTTATATGCAATTCTAGATGATGAACAAAAATGTAATTTTAAAAATTGTAATCATTACTCTGTAATCATATTTACTGGCCCTGCTGCACTTACCTTCAAAGCATCGATAAGCTGGACCTTCTTGGCTAGCAAAAGCTGATACTCTAGGTTAGGATGGATAAGATTCAGAGTGTAGGGAATGGACGCTTCGTTGATATCTAACAAGGAAATGTACATAAACCAATTAGAAGTTTGTCTTTAAAGTCATTTCAGTTACTGTAATGGTTTTTTTGTCCATGAAATTTTTGGATTTTTGCATTTTTGACACATTATCATGAAAATCAAAAC